TTATTTATTTTTTTATTTTTCTTATTTTTATTTTGGGTGAATTGAATTTTCTAAGTATAGAGGTGGTATGGTTAGGCAACAATTGCTCCACACCATTGCTTATGAAGGATGGCAAAGCCTTTTTTCTGGTCTCTGGAAAAAAAAATAAATAAATAAAATAATCATTGTCCCTACAAAATTATTTGTGCTCATTAATTAAGGTTACATCAAGTCAAAATGGGGGTAAAAAGAGAGAGAAAAAAAAAAAGATTATAATTAAGTTATATAAATGCTAATTTGGGTAAAGTTAGATTTTGTGTGTTAGAATATTCACTTGTGAGTTGTCCCACATTGTTTATACAGAGAAAATAGACTTAATTTATAAGTCTAATGACCTAATTTCCCTATCTTGGTGTGCTTCATCTGAGTGGGACCGCACTCGTTTTTTCCTCCGTTTCTTACATTGTGCATGCTAGGCTGGGTTGTGTTTGAGTGAAGCTAAAATCACGTGTTTTACAGACAAAGCAGTGGCGGAGCCACACCTTGTGGCTGGGGTCCGCTGACCCCTATGGATTTCAAAATTTTTAGTATAAAATATTGTTCAAACACTGTTTACTAGGTTAATGACCCCGCTAAAAAATATTGTCGACCCCGGTGAAATTTGAGGCTGGCTTCGCCCCTGAGACAAAGCCACCAACATATATGATTTCTTCTTGGCTCAACACACTATATTTTTGCCCTTTTTTTTTTAACAGATACTACAACAATGCTTACTATGCCAAAGTTGGAGGCATAAGCACGGCAGAGATGAACCTTCTAGAAGTAGATTTCTTGTTCGGCCTGAGCTTCGAACTGAACGTGTCGACTGCCACGTTTCACCACTATTTCGGTTATCTTCAGAGGGAGATTCTCCTCGAGCTTCCTCCCATTTATGTAGTCCCATCTACACCATCACTAAATCTTGGCGCGAAAGATAAGTTCCATTTTTGCGTCAACGAGGAAGGATCTACAGCTCATCAACAACAACAACAATTGGCCGTTTAGCTTGTGGCTGGCGTAGTTTTTCAATCCATAGTGTTGATCGTTGGTTTTTGGTGAAAAAAGAAACCGAGACTTTAGAAAGAAAACATTAAATTTACACAGATGGAAGAGTGTTAAGTGCCAAGAAACTGTCGTCTCTTTTCTTTAGCTAAAGCTTAAGTTTTTGTTCAAGTTCGACTCAATGATTAAACGAGCAATCATTGGTCGAACTCCAAATAAGTTAGAATCGTAGGGGAGTTCAATTCATTTACAACTTTCATCAGACGGGAAATTTAAAAGAACTTAGTTTGGTAAGTAAATAAGCTAGTTTATAGCTTATTTGATTGCTTAAAAGTTATAAGCTTCTTGTCTATATATCACTTAAAATACTTCTAATTCGCGTGCCTCTAATGGCCATGGAAGCCCATGCACCTAAACTCTCAGATCCAAGTCATGTCATGCTGACCCAGCCAAGCGAGTCCCAAAGGCTCTGTAAGACCTTGGCACCCCTGGTGTCATCGCTCTCTAGCTAGGATCTGATTTGCTATGTCCTCATTCCGTCTTTCTATTCCACTCGTGCTTTCTCTATTTATGATTGATTCAAATAAGTTTAATTTGGTGGGATGAACCTTTTTTTTTTTTAAATGCTGGAGCTTATCTTATACGCTTCCTTTGGTAGCTTTCTAAATAAACCCATTAAATTTTTTATTTCATATAGTTTATCAACTAATTTTACCACACTTTTACCATATAAGTTAGTTTTTCAGTCATAAGTCATATGCTATCAGCTATAAGCTCATAATTTACTTAAAAGTTATAATCTAACTTATCAGATATAAGCTTATAACTAGTTTATCAGTTACTTTTACCAAACATAGCCTAAATAGTTCAACAAATCCAAAAGTCTAAGTATGTATTATTACTCGTCCAGAACAAGCCGCGATGAAGACACATTTTGTCGCCACAAAAGTTGATTTACAAGGAAAAATACAACACTTCAAACTATTAACAATCAGGTATCTTTTTCAACAGCAAGAAATTATTGATATCATACACAGCTATTGCTTTTGGGCTTTCACGCATCCTCAGCCATAGCAACGAATCGGGTCATTGCAACCTTTCTCAGTCGACTGTCTGAAACCAAACCTACCTCCTTTTGCAAGGTACTGCTGGTGATACTCTTCGGCTCTGTAGAATTTCTTGGCGGGAAGAATCTCCGTCACGATCTTCCTGTTCAAGACTTTTTGCTGCCTCTCCTTAGACGCGATTGCTGCTTCCTCTTGTTCAGGGGTATAGAAGTAAATTCCGGATCTGTATTGAGTTCCTACGTCATTCCCCTGCATTTAGACACAAAGATAAAAAACACTTGATACAAGTTTCGAAATGTAAAAAGATGGGTCTTTTTTTTGTTTTTGTTTTTCTTGTTTTTCAAAAAATGGACTAAACCTCACAGGTAGTTTTTGTATATAATACTACAATTTTTATTACAGCACAAAGCTTGCCCTGAAAATTAACATTTAGCTCAATGAAGCGACTCCGATAATGATTTCCTTCCAAATGTACCAAACTTGTGT